TATTATTATCTATTTTATATACGTCGAGCCGGGTCCAATTATATTGTATATTGTACACTGATTCCAGTCCGGACATGGGTGTATTCCGTATCAGATCGTTATAATACGATGGTCTGGACTCTATAGGAGATGAAAACCATGTGTCCCCCGCCGGCAAACCACGAGTGCGTGGTAATAATAAAAATAATAATGGTTATATAGTAATTGCGGGCTTGCAGAAATACGCTGATATCAAAAATAACGAAGGTTTGCCATTACCTAACCCTCTGTGGACGACCGGATCGTGGTGAGGTGGATAAGGGGCGTGGAGAAAACAATACGCCGCATTCATTGTTGWCGCTCATTCCCCGMACTTTCCACACAACGTTTCGGTACCCAAGTCATTAGCGCCAACGATATAATAATCGCCGGAAAAACGTGCTCGGCCGTCAATGGTATATGTGTGTCAGTGGACGACAGAGTTTCCTCCCCCATCGGTAATTTCGTAAACAGTACCAACTAGAAAACCGAATGTCCGGATAAGCTGCTACCGACATTACCGGAAATCCGATACGCGCTGCGGACGTGCAATAATTATTATTATAACGTCGGACGCGATCTGTCGGAAGACCACCAAGACGTGTGGCGGCCAAACGCCCCCCACAGATGTCGCTGACTATTATCATTTCTGAGTTAGAGGRAAAACGTTTTTAACGATTTTCAGGAAACTAGGTATGTGATACTCCTTTTTCGAAATTAATTATCACAACTCGTTAGCAGTCACGTCATAATTGTATTTGACCGAGGCGAGACCACCCAGTCTCTTAATACGACTTAATCAAATCATTTATTATTGTATATTTCGTTGACTGATGTCAATTTTATTTAGATCTTTAAATTCTAAATATTATTATATTAATGGTACGAGATTCTAAAGTTATACTTATGTCAATCTCATCAAAATAAAGGTGAAATCAGATTTTATAATAGGGTAGCAAATTGTGAAGATAAATGATGCTGGGAACAAAGAAAATGTCTAACCGTTATAATATAATACTATTACATAACATGTCTATACATCGTACATTATTATATTATTTATATTGTCATTRATCTRGTGAGTAGTGTTATGCGTTTTATACGAAACTCGATAACGTTATAATGACATAATTACTTAAAATGTATACCGACTAAAACACTTAAAAGGTATTTTGTGTTTGATATAAGCCACAAAAATGTTGTGGATAACAAACACACTCATGTTAGTTTTTACTTTAAACATAAATGTTTAATGAATGCAATGCAATCATTCGTTTTTGTTTTCGTGATTTCCAACGACAAACTTGATCAGTTTTTTCGCTATATTGTCATTTCATTAAAGTTATTTTTCGAGGGTCAGTTAATGTGTGTTTTTCATTACCTACTGTATACACCATACTAGGTTAACATTATATTGTACTGTTCAAAWCATATGATATTTCTATTGACACAGAAAACTTATAAATWAATTAATGATATAATATAAAWGAATAACTAGTTAGGAATACAATATCTTGTATGAGAAATAAGTATTAACTAAGGGTCTATAATCATACTGAACAAAATTAACGTATGGTAATTCAATATGTGAGAAAATTGAATACTCCGTTTTGTAAAAAGTATATTTCTAATTATTTCCTTACTATATTATAGTATACATTTGAATATATTTTTGTCATTAATTTATTTAATACTAAAAACAAAAATAAAAATAAAAACAATAAAATAAAACCTGAATAAAACCTGAATAAACTAGGTAATTACACAATAATATTATTATTATTGTTATGCTTAATTAAACAATTTGACAATTTTGTATGAATCAAAAATCATAAACACGTCATGTTACAGTTATAAAAAGTAATACATACCTACTGTACAAGTCTTCGAACAAGTACTATACCTAATTGTTTGAGGAACAGAATTTGTTGTCAACAAAACTACATATACATTTTTACACAACTATATACAATACATTTCAATTTGAAATTATATTTCATAAGCCTTACAAAGGTTAGATCAATTTCATTAATTTATGTTATAATATTCGCATTTTATTGTACAAGACATTATAATTTATACTATCATACATTAATACATTTTTATCAATAATTATTATTAAATATATTATAATTCCAGGTTCCTATAAAATATATATTATTAAAACTATGTGAAAAACACAACTAGATACRTTTTATTTTTGAACGTAGCATTATTGGTACAATTGGATATTTGTGACGATGTATTAATTAAAAGCTGATATTTATTTCATTTGTTTACATTTTTTTTTTTTTTTACTTCCTCTTTTTGCCATGTTTTTAATCATACCCATAGCATCAAAAAAAAAAATCTGAAAATTAGCAAAATGCACGATGTGTGTGTGTTACAGTTGTGATGGTGAAATAAATCTGTAGAGTAGGACGCTGCCACAGTCACGAATCGCCAATAGAAAATGAATTATGGCGTATCCGAGGCTTCGTCATTACAGGTCCCGATCATCATTCACATCTCCATTTTTCTTTTTTCTTTTGATTGTATATTTTATTTATATTTTCATTTAGACGTCGTTATCCAGACGGTGAACGATACTGTTTTGAATTTTACTGTTTATATTGATTTGTATTTTTTCACAAAGAACAAGGGCGGAAACTGATCATGATATAATAATATTACATCTCCTAATAACGATACAATTATAATAATATTTTTCTATGTATGTATATGTATATATATATATGTGTCGTATAATATAAAGTTTATTGGTTCAACTGCACAACGTTGCGCGTGCCACATGATAATATATCAACGACCTTTCTCCAGCAGAGTTTAATTTGTTTTTTTCTACGCAAATGCTTTCATTATAATAAYACGTAGCCCTAAATAAAAATAATAATGTATTCTAATAACGTAGCCGCTTTACTATTAACTGTATTGAGCCGAGAAACGAGGAGAAATTTTCTAATGGAAAAAAATTGTGTATATAGCTACGATCGGAGCGAGTGCACATTCAAAAAGTATTTATCGATATGTTTTTAATTATCACTAGAGATTCAGATTAAAAGCATAACGATGCAAATTCTCGTTATTTAGTAATTAGTACGAGTTGTATGCATATTTWTTATTATTCCATTTATATGTTTTTATCCTTCCTTTTAAATGTTAGTATTATCATCTTAACCCCAGCGCGGTCGTTTATGATTATAATCATAGAAATAAAAATTAACTATCAATATCTATAGTACAAAAAAAAAAATTTTAATCATTACACTTAATATCTACTTTATAAAACACACATTTTWTCAACGACTTTTTAATTGATTAATGTATGTATTCTTCCAACCAATTATTTCCATGTTGGGTTATAGCATTTCAACCATTTAGTTAAAAATAAACTGAGCACGATAGAGAATGAATCTTTAAAATATACATGAAAATAAAATATAGTTAYGAATCTTCATTAAATTATAATAATATAAATACAAAAAAAAATAAACGTAAAATAGGTACTAAGTGATTCACAAAACATGCTTACCCATTTTTTTTAAATTATTAATTAATTCATTTAAATTCTGTTTCTTTGATTTTTTAAGTAACTACTCATACCTGTGAAACAGATTTTAAAATACCTTCTTAGATTAATATAACATTAAGGAATGACTTTAGATGAATAAACATTATTTTCCAAATAAGAACTGCTCTTATTTCCTGAGAATCGTTAAGCAGATAAATCCATTTTCAAGGGATGTTAATCATATTATATCTATAGAATATTTTATTTTAATAAATCAAAAACTACTTCTTTGAATTTTTATTAAGATTTTATATATATTAACGTTTAAAAATAATCTTCTGTCTGACAATTTAGAAAAATAAAAAAGGTTGACTTTCATTTCCACGAGACACTATTTAAATGGTATAATAATAATAATTCAAAATTTGGTTMTTAAGTATACTTCATAATTAATAAAATCAGAATTAGAATGAGTTCATTATTAAAGGAAATTTTAAAAAAGTTTTGAGCACAAAATCGTAGCTAAGAGAGTTCAGGCACTCCCAGAAATTAATAAATTATATTGAAAATTTGAAAAATTGAAAAATTGTTGGTCAAAAAACGTATTCCACTTCCGTATTGACGTTTCAATAAATGATAGTTTGAACTTTAACAATTACTTCAAGAAAGTACGGACTCTAATAAACAACAACATTATTTCAGTTTATTTCAATATATCATGATGCTTGGTAAGAAAAATKTTGCATAATTCTTGAATTATATGAAAATTAAACTTATAAATTATATGAATGAAAATATCAAATTAGTATTGAATAGTACCAAAGTACTAAAAATAGTAGACAATTAAAGCCCATAACAAAGGTATATAAATATATTTTTTATATTTTAAACAAAAAAGTCTAAAAATCATAATGTCCATACCCCACAGTTATAAATAATTGTTAAGATATATATTATAATATGGCTGTAATCTATGTAAGTACATTTTTAATGAAATATTTTTAAGACTCGTTTCGTCTTTAAAAATTCATTGTAGGTACACCCTTAAAAATGCAGACTTAGAAACTTTATCATGACGTAGATACATTTTGTTTTATTTAAGCATATTGTTCAATTAAATAGTTAATGCACTGGAATTTTYGACAGAAAATTACAGAGGATATTAATTTATTAAGCAAATTTAATTTAGAACGAGAATTAAAAATCGTAATTAACGATAAAAGGGATAATATATTATGCATATTATTATAAAGTATCGCAAGGGATGTATAAAATCTCCATTTCTATAACTTAACCAACTCTCAGACGAGGCAAGAGTGTCCAAGGGAATATAATTTGAACAATATAATATCATTACAAATTCAGTTTGATATATTATGTTCTCTCGTCGACTGAGTATGACGTTGAACCCACAACTACAACTGTACTAGATCGTAGACCCAAGATATATAATAACTGTTTGTTTTATTTCAAAAACCATATCAACACTGATAACCGTAATTAATCAAATGTATCACGGGTGCTTTTTTTGCTATTGAAACGAACCATTTCTCATTTTTTTTTWAAAACTTTTTCACTCTAATTATTATAAACCTTGTTGTAATAGGTGTACACCTAAAATGCACAATGAAAATATAGTAAAAAACTACTCACACTCACATTAAATCTTTGATTTCTTTGATTTCTTCACAAACGTGATTGTAAAAATAAATTATTAACCACAGATAAAATGTATACTATGAAATTCAAAACATATATTATTTTAAATACCTCTTAAACCGAATAAAAACTCAATCGATAATTATCATAGTTTAAAATATATTAGATTAATAGTGTTAAGTATACCTAATCTGAATAAATACATTCAGTAACATTTTACAGCTACTCAAATTATTCTGTATATTTCGCTGAAAAATTCCTGCACACACCATTGTAACTTTTTTTATATAAAAATGACATAAATTCATAAAACATGTCATTTCAAAGTCAAACTAATTGTGAGAAACGGTGAGAAATCAATTTYTGAGGAATAAAATAAGTATATGTCATTTAGTTCACTTAAGGTCCATGGTATACAACCGATAGACGTAAGCGTAATTTTAACATGTGCAACACTCGGAAACCGTTGATGCCAATTTTAATAAAATGAAAAAAATGAACCTGATATCCGTCAATTACACAAACTATCTCTGAATCTCATAATTGKATTCAGATAATGATTATTGACGTACCGCAATAGAACCGTATTWTGAATTTCCGAAAGTTTTTCCGATGGTAGTCTACGCAGGCATGATTAGTTTTCCGTCCCTGTTTGCATGTATCTTAGTTTAATACTATGCGTCTTAACTAACATAACTAGGTATACAAAGTTTATTATAATAATAAATCATTACCAGTTTACCACTTAATTGCATCGTACAAACTAATAACATTGATTTTATTCACGTAAATATAAATGTATATTTATAATATTTATAATACTATACACATTAATCTAAAACATTATTATTATGCACGGGTCACGCTCGCAAGATTATAACTAAATTATTCGTCAGAGTGGTATATTGAATTTTTCATCGCACCGGTAATATTAACATACCTATACTATTCTATGAATTTTATTATAAATGATATAATGTACATTATACATTTTTTATATC